GGACCTCTGCACCTGCTGTTCCCTCTGAATGCAACACTTCCCCAACCTCCAGGCCTCTCCTCAATTCCTGGCAGAGCCAGCTCTTTGTATAAAATTTAGATTTAGTAGGTGTTAAATGGGACCTGTTTAAAAAAAAAAAAAGACTTTGCAAAGCAAGGAGAGAGCACACAGAGCCACACTGGAGGATAAGACCCTAGCACAGTATTTTTTAAAGCTCTTGATGATCTAAATATATATCTCGTTTTGAGAATTTGTAAATCAGATCCTCTGCACTCTATTTCTTCCAGTATCCTCCACAACGCTTTTGCAAGTCTCTTCATCACTGAAATTTTCTTTTGGTGTCATGAATCTGGAATAAGAACTAGTAGACAAAGAATGGCCTGTGCAAATTAGCCTTTATCTGGGGTCCCACCTCCCAGGGAATTACAGAGGTCACACAAAATGCTTAAGGCCAAAAGTGTATAGTTGTGACCCAAGGCTGAAATGTACCCGAGAAAGGTATAAAAGGGGAAGCAAAAAAGAATGGTTTTAAAAGGGCTAGAGAAAGTTATTTTTCTTCAACAAAAGTAAACATAAAGGGTCTACGGGAGCCGGCGCCGCGGCTCAGTAGGCTAATCCTCCGACTTGCAGCGCCGGCACACCAAGTTCTAGTCCCGGTCAGGGCGCCGGATTCTGTCCCGGTTGCCCCTCTTCCAGACCAGCTCTCTGCTGTGGCCAGGGAGTGCAGTGGAGGATGGCCCAAGTGCTTGGGCCCTGCACCCCATGGGAGACCAGGAGAAGTACCTGGCTCCTTTAACATTTATTATCTCATTTTGTTCTTAGTACAGTGGTCACTGTGCTCATTAACTAGATGAAGGCATAACTAAATGTGTTGGTCTGTGTTCTGGTTTGTGATCCTATAAATATACAGTGATCCAATCTGTAAAATTGGGGAGTTAAGCTAGAAAAACAAACAGGATAATTTGGTCTGCAACTGTTAAGGCAGAAATAACAGCATCAACAAAATCACCACTGTTAGCTAAACATTTATTGAGCACTCACTATGTGAGCCATTATACTTGAGACTTTAAACATTTATATCATTAAATGCTCACAAACACAAAGTAATGTGCCCATCTTGCCTAATATTTATACAGGGTTTTTACTTAATCAAAGATGTACAGGTCGACTGGTACAGTGAAAAAGAGCTATAACCTAGAAAGAACACACAGAGGTTTAAGATTTCAGAGGGGAAACTGTTTTGAGAGTGACAGAGCTGAGCTGTTGGGTACCAGGAAAGAAATGGAAATGAACATCAATAGTAGAGGAAATAAAGAAAAAGGTGGATCAGAACAACCCTCCAAAAGACACAGATATCACCTAGGACAATAAAGAAGTGGCTACCTAAGTCCTACTTCTAAACTGATTCCATAAATGTTCTATTCTCAATTTCATTTTCTTTTTCTTTTGGAGGCAAGATATTTTTAAAAATTAAATTTCTTACTTTAATTGACACATATTAACTGCACATATTTATGGGGTACAATGTAACATTTCAAGAGATATAAGTATTGTGTCATTTTGTCCTGCATATGCCTTATTAAAATGGTTACAACTCTCTTTGGGTCCCATAGTGGTTCCCCAGTCCCAGAATTTCTTAACACTATTTACCCATTTTGGACTCCAAGACAGTCCAGATACAGTATCCCATCTCAATCAGCCCCCAAAGAAGCTAGACAAATAGCAAAAATGCATTTTCAATTTCATTAAACTGCATCCTTGGGGCAGGTGCTATTCTACGGCAGGTTAAGCTGCCACTTGCAACACCCGCATCCCATATGGGAAGGTTGGTTTCCGTCCTAGCTCTTCTACCTCCCACCCAGCTTCCTGCTAGTGTGTCCGGGGAAGAGAGTGGGTCCCTGCCAGGTCCCTGCCACCCACATGGAAGACTCATATGGAGTTCCCAGCTCCTGGATTTAGCCTAGTCCACCCCTGGCTATTGTGGGTATTTGGGACATAAATCAGCACAAGGAAGATCTCTCTCTTTCTCTATCAGTTTCTTTCAAATAAATAAATGAATGAATAAATTAAAAAAAAAACAGCATCCTCTGTATTTCTGAAGACTACTTTTTTTTTATATTTCTGAAAAGAAAAAAATCCAGAGAGGAGTAACAGATAAGACATCTAGCTAAAGCAGCAAACAAAATACTTTAACAATGATGTTGAATTTCAATACTCAATGTGCTGAGGAATAAAAATCTCACTATAAACAAATGGCTTCTGTCTTCTACTATTCTCCAGTAGGTCACCAATATTTTTCTTACCTGACTAGTTTCCTTAAGTTAATCCATCTGTTTTCAAAGGCAATTCTTGTACTAAACCCAATACTCTTTTTCTGATCATACCCTTTTCAGTGACTGATAACAACACTGAACAAGAGAACTGAACCAAGTAAATGTATTCAGCTCTAATATTTCACCCCTGTGACTATCAAGGCAGATTTGGGTTGCTTTCAGAAAAATGCCAGTTATTTTCATGTCATTTAGATGTCTCTAACTACATGAACACAAATGCAAAAGCAAGTTCTACAACTAGCAGGACTGACAAAGAAAATTTAAAGGAACTAAGCTATCAGAAAGAGTTGATAACAGTTATTTGAAGGAAATGACAAAACAGTAATTTATATCTAAATGGACAGAATTTTCAGAAATTTTATTTAAGAGTCACATAAAACTACAGATTTTTTCTCCAAAGATTTACTCATTTATTTGAAAGAGTTTGATAGAGAGAGAGGAGAGACAGAGAGATCTTCCATCTGCTAGTTCACTTCTCAAATGGCCAAAACAGCCAAGGCAGGGCCAGACCAAAGCCAGGAGCTTCTTCTGGGTCTCCAACATGGGTGCAGGGGCCTCAGGAATTGGGCCATCCTCTGCTGCTTTTCCAGGCACATTAGTAGGGAGTTGGATTGGAGGCAGAGCAGCTTGGACCTAAACCAGCACCACACTGGCAGCTTAACCCACTGCACCAAAGCACCAACCCCAGATTTGTTTATTTGGATTTTTTTAAAAGCTATAGTTTGATAAAAATTACTTCTCAGAAATTTCTAATCTGTCAATTTATACAATGATACATAAAGGTTTAGCTAACAATTGGCAAGTGGGATTATGAAAGGCAATAAACACCCTAGTTAGTCAATCTGAATAAACAATAATTTCTACTACTTACTTAGAAATGGATTGCTACCCTCACAAACCAAGAGGATAATTTATGACATGATATCAAATAAGCACGTAGGGGTGGGCATATTTGAGCTTCTAAATGCTAAGTTAAATACAACTTCACATCTCCACATGCTCATCTATTATTTAAAACTGACAGAGGTATGTTAGATTTACATTATTAAATATTAAAATATTTTATCTTGATTATCAGAGAATCACCGAAAAATAAGAACAAAGTTATCTATGTCTAACACCATAGTAATAATAATAATAATAATAATAATAAAACAAAAATGCAAATCAAGGGTCCAGTGTTGTAGCCTAGTTGGTAAAGCTGCTGCCTATGATGCCAGCGTCCCATATGGGTGCTAGTTCCTATTCTGGCAGTTCCACTTCTGACCCAGATTCCTGTGTACAGGTTGGCAAAAGCAGAGAAAGATGGCCTATGTGTTTGGGTCCCGGCCACCCATGTTGAGGACCTGGATGAAGCCCTGGCTTCAGCCTGGCCACTTCTGACTGTGGCAGCGATCTGGTTGAGTGAACCAGCAGATGGAAAGTCTCTCTGTTTCTTCCTCCTCTAACGCTTTCAAATAGGTAAATAAATCTTAAAAACAAAACAAAAAAATGCAAATCAAAGAAAATACTACTTCCAAGCAAAGAGAAGACTTGCTCCTGATTTGGCACTGGAGAAGAATACTAAGATTTGAGTGCTCAAAAGTACTCCTCAAAGAAGGGCTATCAAAGAAGGAGGTACCTTTCTCTGAAGGGAGGAAAGAACTTCCACTTTGATTATGGCCTTGTCTAAATAAGGTCGGAGTTTGTGAACTCAAGAGGCTTCCATAACCTTGGCAGCTCGTGACAAGAGCTTTGGATGATTACTGACATCATAAATAAGAGTGTCAATTGTTGAATCAACAACAGGAGTCACTGTGCACTTGCTCTTCATGTAGGACCTCTGTCCTTAATGTGTTGTACTATGCGAATTAATAGTAAAACTAATCTTCAAACACTACTTTATACTTTGTGTGTCTGTGTGGGTGCAAACTGCTGAAATCTTTACTTATTATAGAGTTGATCTTATGTATATAAAGATAATTAAAATTAACCTTAATGAAGAATGGGATGGGAGAGGGAGTAGGAGATGAAATGGTTTGCGGGTGGGAGGGTGGTTATAGGGGGAAGAACCGCTATAATCCAAAAGTTGTGCTTTTGAAATTTATATTTGTTAAATAAAAGTTTTCTATTAAAAAACAAAAGTACTCCTAATTCAGAGACTATCATCTTATTCAGAGAACTACAGTTACCTCTTTGTCCTGACACTGGCATTGTCAAAACAATGGATTTTACAATAAATGCTGAGATTGAAACCAGTGGTGCAGAAAGTGACTTATATGTATTTTCAAAGACATCAACAAACAAAGGCATCAGAGTGGCTGTGCAAAAAGTCCAAAACTAAAGAAAAAAACTAAAAAAAAAAAATGGTGGTACCTCAAGCACTTCAAGTATGTATATATATACAGAAGACCATGTTGTGAGGTCACTTGGGAATTAACTGCTTAGCTTATTATATGCCTCTAAATCTTCACATATGAATTCTTAAAAAGGATAAATGTCTTAAAGATCTTGGATAATCACTTCACAGATGAACTAAAATTAGAAAGACTTTAATCCTCTTTTATTGATAGTTGGCATCAATAAAGAAAAGGATTCAAAAACAAATACTTTTAAAATCATCTTGCCCATTTATATCATAATGTACATATTAATACAAAAATTTATAAACTATATAAAATACAATACCTGAAACTGAACTCTTGGGCACTGAATCAGAGATAAATTAGTACCAATCTTCCTTACGATACTTCGAGATGAACCATAAGGCTTTCCAGACCAAAGTACCTGAGGAAGCAGAAAAACCAAAAGCTTAATTATAAGACCTACAGTTAATAGAAAGCACTGGAGAAGTAATTGCATGGCATGCTAGCATTAATTATGGGATCAGAATGCTATAAATGTTTTGGGAAATATGCTAGTAGTTCTCAATTTAAAACTAGAGAATATATGAGTAGATAGCTAGTTATTTAGCAAAAACGTTAAAGTAAGGCATTATATACAAAACACAAGAATGCATAGTAATTTTAAAATAAAACTGTATTTGGAGCAAAAACTTTATTTGCATCAGGTCCAAAGGAAATACCCTTTTACCTCTTCTGTTATATCTTTATAGTTAATAAACATACTGTTACACTTTCTTTAAACATATAAGCTACTTTTACTATAATGGGCTTTTCAAAACAAATTCAACTGAATACAAAGTTCAGAATCTTGAATCTGGGTCACACAGTTACACCATATCATTTGCTGTGTAAGAGTGCCTGGCTAGGGGTAAGCAGGGGCTGAAATCTAGTCACTCTGCTCACCAAGCACTGCATCTTCTTGGGATGCCTTGTCCCAGAGGAAAGGCGCCTTTTCCTAATCTGCACAAACCGAACTAAATGGGCTAGTGCTGGCCCTAATGAGCAGTCTCTCAGAGGACATCATAATACATATAGAACAGTACGCTATGCTTGAAGTAAAAACAAAAACAAATCCCCAAAGCCAAAAAGCAAACAAAAAAACACACATGTAGATTGTTAAGGCATTACATATTGTACCTTGAAATTTCTCCCCAAGTATATGATCTTTCCTTAAAGAGAAAACTATCCATCTGTTCTGAGTGCTACACTTGAAAGCCTGGACAGAAGAGGTAAAGAAAGGTAGCAAGCTATTAAAAGCTATTTTAAAAGGAAAAAGTGAAAATGACTATAATACTGAATTCATCAAACCTTACCATTAATGATATCCTAAAGACTAAATAAATAGTACTAAGAGAATGGAGTCTGAGGAATGAACACAGTCACCTTTTTAAGTTCACTCCACAGCCACTCTAATTTAAAAAATAAAATTATCCTATTAAAAATTATGCTATTATAAACAGTATTACCAAGCAACTGGTCATTGTAAACAGCCGTGTTTCTAAAATCTAACCTAAACTAGACCTTTTAGAACATTCTAAATGTGCATACAACTTACAAAATGAACACAGGAAAATATAATTTCTTAAATCTTTAGCAGCCAAATCTATTTAGGGATCAGTGAGTCATGGTGAGGTTCACTAGAGTATATAAAATACCTGAGCATTCGCCTCAGACTTTTATAATTTTTATCATGTATGTTCAAGGGTTCACTGCCTCTTAGTTCTATAATCTACGCTGGCTATGATAACCAACAAACACTCTAATGCTTGTTTTGAAATATCATTTAAAAAGATGCTACAGACTGGAAAATCATTCAACAGAAGCCTGAAAGGTATCAATATTAAAATGTGAATATTACACAAAGAGGCAAACTTACTCTGAAGTTTAGAGCAAAATATTCAAATCAGTGATCCTACAGAGCATTATCTATCACATTAACAGTCTTAACAATACATGAAAATGAAAAGAAGGAAAAATAACTAGAGGCAAATGGGAGGCTTATTGGTGCTACAAAGTAAACATTCAATCTGCCTTGCCAACAAAAAGAGCAAGAGCAAATAACTTAAAACAATTTCCAGCAAAATCTTTACCTTACATATTTTTAATAGTCCTGATGGTTTAAAGAAAAATAGAATGCTTTTTGTGCATCACAAGGTGACAATTACATAGTCTAACGTGAATCTTCTTCCCTTCCAGTATGCAGTTCTTACCAGAGATGAAAAGGACAAGAAGCTCACAAAGAAAAATTGAGAAAGGATTTGTCAAGGTCAGGAACTAATGTTTCTGCCAGCTTTGAACATTTCTCACTATGCATGCTGCAGGGCTAATTTTCAACTATTATCTTTCCATCTGTTTAAAATCAGAAGGAATGAATACCAGGTGCCTTCTACAAGAGAAGTGGCCAATGATTCAGCTTTTAATTAAAAGGAATAAGCAGACTACTTAGGTTTCTCCTACAAATTTAAAGGAAGGAAAAGAACAGATTGCTTGATGTGATTATTTTTTTCAAGCATACGCAGTAGACTAACAATCTTGTTTTTTGTTACTTGTGAACTGGTTAGTACTTAGCACCAAGAAATATGAAACAAGGTTCTGTTTAAGTGAATGATAGAATATTTATAGCCTTCAAAACCTTTATTGGATGGTAGGAAAAAGTGAGGGGAAAGAGCAGTTAACTTCCAGGAACTCTAAAACTAGGTTTTACCAGCTTTTTTCTATTCAGCCCTCACGGAGGGGGAGAAATTGTAAATGGCTGTGAAGAAACAGTGAGCAGATGGTACTGAAAAGTCACCATCTGTGCAATGGGAGGCTGTATGACCCAAGTGCATCTCCTACCCTAACTTGGGGTTGAACTGTGTCTTGTTAATATACTGATTTGGAAAAGACTTCCACTAAAGATAAACTATCATTAATATTTCTTCAAATGTAAGAGAGAAGGCAGAGATAAAACCGTCATTACTAGATAAGGTAGTTTCATTAAGAAATAAGACAATTCAATAGATTTAGGAAATAACAGAAAAATTACAATTTATCTATAAGAACTCTTTATGAACAATCTAATGAGTCTGTGTGTGTGTTGTACATGCCTATGTCTAGTAATGGCAGTCCATAACATTTTGCAACAGTGTTTGAAAGTGATGACAGCAAAGAGAAGGATGACAACAGGAAAGCAATTTGTTCTTGTTTAACATTGTGAAATGCTATTGTAGAAGTGTTGACATGTGAGGCTGGAATCTGAAGCTGTCATCTGTCTCATCCATAATGGCTGCACAAGTTTTATGTGGTAACTCATTTGTTATATATTAATCTATATAATTATTTCAGAACTATTTAACAGGAAAAAATACAAACTTAATTCTAAGTAAATGTATTTTTCTCAAGAAAAACTATGTGATATTAATCCATGGGTTTGCATATCTCTGAAATTGCAAAATTAGAATACCTATGTAATATTTTTCAGGGAAGAAGGCTCATATCATTAATTAAATTTATAAGGAATCTAGGACCCAACAAAATACAAATTCATAATGCCAAGGGAGCAAGACAAAACAAAAAACATACGTGTTTGGAGGAAGTGGGGTTGGATATTGGAGGATGAACCTCTATAATAATTTCAAAATCCTTAACTGAAGACTAAGACTTCTCTCAGTTCTCTTCTTTGCTCTAAACTCCCCGCCCCATCTCATTCCCCCTCTAAAGCACAAAGAGAAACAAGGGTCTAATTCTTAATTTATTATTATATTGTTAAAACAAATTGGTATTTGCTAAACTTTTTTTCCAACATAAAATACTGAAATTAATCAGAATCATTTTAACTTCACACCTATTTTTACTTTCTCTAATTTAAAAACATTTTTACTGAGGGATAGAAATATAATAGATTGAGCAAAAATAACTTATGTATGGTTTTAAACTCAAATGTTGAGGCAATACAGATGACAGTGAAGTAAAAACATAAGTCAAGGCAGCGCAGGCCTTTCAAAGCAGGTTCTGCCAATTTACTACCTTTGTAACACTAGCAAATTACTGACTACTCTGTTTTCTTATGTACAAAATGAGAACTATATCCATTTCATATGCCTTTGAACAATATATGAGTTAAGGTATTTATCATACGTCTTCAATAACATTAACAATCTTTTCCCCTTTCCATAGTAAGAGGCAGCAAAACAGACAAAAATGAGGAAGAATCTGGGAATTATTACTGGGTTCATATTGTAGCTCTACCACTGTCAGGCAACTTTGGTTGAGGCAGTTAACACTCCAAACCTCAAGTTTCCCATCTGTAAAAGAGGGTTGTTCACAATGTGTATAAACACTGGGCACAAAGTAAGCCCATCAGGGATGCCCATTATGGCACTACAGGTTGAGTAAACAAAAATAGAAACATTAAACATCACTGGCTGTCCTAACAGCAAAAACAAAATCCTGACCTAAAAGCGTGCACCATTTAAAAAAAAAAAAGCAAATAAATCAGATAAAGAATGAAGACAAGTTCCTGCTTTTGCAAAACTTTCAAGAACAATCTCAAATATATTTGTACATCAAATCGTTGGGGAAAATATATATTAATTACTGAAAGGTGGAGCTAAGAAAATTTCTTTTGTTTTCAGAAAATAAAAATCTTCGTTCACTATACCTTTGTATTTTTAGTCTTAGTCAGCAAGCTAAAAACATTAGAAACTACAAAAAGATCAGTTGTAGAAAAGTCAATTTTATGTAGATTTCTAGCTAACTGATTAAACTTGATGATTATATGATAGTCTCAATACATAAAAAAAAATCTTGCTCATCTGCTATCAGTAGGAAGAACCCTAAATTGTGTTTACAATATTAATGAGAAAATCAATCATATTTTACCTGGTCCATTCTCTGATGAATGACACACATTTTACAACTTAAAATGAACAAAAAGCTAAACAAATGAACAAGCTAAATAAAATGTGTGAAGAATCAGAATCAGGCCGGCGCCGCGGCTCAATAGGCTAATCCTCCACCTAGTGGCGCGGCACACCAGGTTCTAGCCCTGGTCGGGGCGCCGGATTCTTTCCCGGTTGCCCCTCTTCCAGGCCAGCTCTCTGCTGTGGCCCAGGAAGGCAGTGGAGGATGGCCCAAGTGCTTGGGCCCTGCACCCCATGGGAGACCCAGGAGAAACACCTGGCTCCTGGCTTCGGATCAGCGCGGTGCGCTGGCCGCAGCGCGCCAGCCGCGGCGGCCATTGGAGGGTGAACCAACGGCAAAGGAAGACCTTTCTCTCTGTCTCTCTCTCTCTCTCACTATCCACTCTGCCTGTCAAAAAAAAAAAAAAAAAGAATCAGAATCAGTTATGTGTGCACGAATCAGAATTCTGTACTTTGGCCTCATTAAGCTAGTCTACATTAGCTTAATTAGGGTGGAATTTAAGAAACTAGCCATCCTGAAGGAACCTATGCTATATGCAAGCTACTGTATTGGGTGCTTTATATCTACTGCCATTTAATCCACAGGCTAACTCTGCTGTAACAGCACTTCTTAACCTTATTTTTGGGGGAGTAAACTCATAACTGGCAGAAACAAATTTCAGATCTAGGGTTAAATTCAGGACCCACAATCTTGCCACTATCTTCTTATTACAATAACAATTACAAATAAATAGATACCATAAAATTTGCTTTTGGGACATCATAAATAACAGAAGCTTCCTTTCCTTCTGGAAGCAAAGAGTAAAAATTCTTCTGTTAGTGCTAAAATATTAATCTACCCCATGTAGCCAAGTAGTAGTAAGTAACAAGAGAAACATGATTTAACTATAATAAATTCAAAACATAGGAATACACTTCTGAGAAAGATGAAAACACCACTAACTTTACAAGTAATTTTCAAAGTCTTTATCCTAAAGCTAATAATTTCAAAACGATGCATCAATAAACAAAGGTAATTTTTTTTTTGGCTCTCTGCTCTCTGACCACAACCTTAGTGGTCAGACACAATTACTTTTTAAAGATTTATTTTATGTATTTGAAAGACAGAGTTACAGAGAAAGAGAAAGGGGGAACACAGAGAGGTCTTCCACTCACTGGTTTACTCCCCAAATGACTGTAATGGCCAGGGGTGGGCCAGGCCAAAACCAGGAGCTTCTTCCAGGTCTCCCACATGGGTGCAAGGGTCCAAGCACTTGGCCAATTTTCCATTGGCCATTAGCAGGGAGCTGCATCAGAATTAGAGCAGCTGGAATTTGAACCAGCATAGTAGGTGGTGACTTACCCAATACACCGCAATGTCAACCCCAGCAAGTTTTTAAAATATGAAAGTAGTGCATTAAAAAGCATACCAGGGGCTGGCTCTGTGGCACAGAGGGTAAAGCTGCCACCTGCAGTGCCAGCATCCCATATGGGTACCAGTTCGAGTCCTGGCTGCTCCACTTCTGATCCAGTTCTCTGCTAGGGCCTGGGAAGATGGCCCAAGTTCTTGAGCTCCTGCATCCGCAAGGGAGACCCAGAGGAAGCTCCTGGCTCCTGGCTTCGGATCAGCACAGCTCCAGTCATTGCGGCCAACTGGGGATTAAAACAGCAGATGGAAGACTTCTCTCTTTCTATGTGTAACTGACTTTCAAATAAATAAATAAATAAATCTTTAAGGAAAAAAAAAGGCATACCATTTTCAAATTATATAACCTGCCTATAACTTTAATAAATAAAACTGAGTTCCATGTCACAAAAACATCAAAGCATTTATTTGAAAATGAAAAAAATTGTTCTACAAAATGAGCTTAGTCCAACTGCTCTGGTAATTTTACCTTAGACCTGAACAAAGTTTATGTGTCAGACTTCAAAAAATGTCAAGATCAAAATTACATCACTTACCTTCGGAACAGCTGAGTGATTTACCACAACAGTTGAGTAATTTATGCAACATTAATAGTTCTACAAAGTTCAAAGTTGTCAAGCGTAATCATTTTATTTAATGATTTCTTTCCATATATATAAACCTTTTCCTCACTAATAAATGTATTGCTTTTAAAGGACATGTGAATATTTCTAAGTTTTCAACATAACACAGAAAAGTAATTCTTTCCTTAGGATACTGGGAAATGATACACTCCTGCAGCTTAAATACTAAGGAAATAAAATAGTACATAAATACATTGAATTCAAAATGTTTGTCATATACAGATACATTTAATTTTCTCAGAAAAAAACTCTTGAAATAAATGTCTGGATTTTAAAAATGAATCTTAAGCACTCACCGATTGCATGCTTACTCCAACTTGTTGAAAAACCATCCTAATCAGGCGGTTAATCCAGCCAAGCATTTAGATGGCAAAGTCTCCCCAAATTTGCATTTCAAGTGTTTCAGGCATACATAGCAGCACATGGTCCATAAAGCACACTGAAAATTTAAAATGCAAATACTAAAATAATTATTATTTAAAATCTTTACTAACATGTCTCACAAAGTAAACTTAAAACACTTTAAAACTCTGTGAATAAATTAAGAGAAAGTACAACTTCTTTGTGATCAGCTTGCTTAAAGTAACTGTATTAATACAAGACTTTTTCTTTTATAAAGATTTATTTACTTGAAATGGTGAGTCAGAGAAAGATCTTTCATCTGCTGGTTCACTACCCAAGTTGCTGTAATAAATAGCTTTCACTGGGTCAGATCAAAACCAGGATACAGGAGCTTCACCCAAGTCTGCCATGTGGGTGTAGGAGCCCAAGGACTTAGGTCATCTTCTGCTGCTTTCCCAGGCTGATTAGCAGGGAGCTGGATCAGAAGCGGAGCAGCCAGGACATGAACTGGTGCCCAATGGGATGCCAGCACCACAGCACCAGTCCTTACAAGATTTTTTTTAACAATTTATTTGAAAGTCAGAAGGAGAGGCAGAGAGAGACAGAGGTCTTCCATCTGCTGGTTCACTCTCCAATTGACCACAACAGCCAGAGCTACGCTGATTCAAAGCCAAGAGCTGAGAGCTTCTTTAGGGTCTCCCACGTGGGTACAGGGGCCCAAGCACTTGGGCCATCTTCCACTGCTTTCCCAGGCCACAGCAGAGAGCTGGATTGGAAATGGAGAAGCTGGAAATTGACCCAGAGCTCAGATGGGATGCCAGTACTGCAGGCAGCGGCTTTACCTGCTATGCCACAGTGCCAGCCCCTCCAAGATTCTGTCCCGGTTGCCCCTCTTCCAGGCCAGCTCTCTGCTATGGCCCGGGAGTGCAGTGGAGGATGGCCCAAGCTTGGGCCCTGCACCCCATGGGAGACCAGGAGAAGCACCTGGCTCCTGGCTTTGGATCAGCGCGGTGCGCCGGCGGCGGCAGCCATTGGAGGGTGAACCAACGGCAAAGGAAGACCTTTCTCTCTGTCTCTCTCACTGTCCACTCTGCCTGTAAGGAAAAAAAAAAAAAAAGTTTCATTTATTTGAAAGACAGAGTTACAGAGAGAGGGAGAGACACAGAGAGAGGTCTTCCACCTGCTGGTTCACTCCCCAGTTGGCCGCAATGGCTGGAGCTGCGCCGATCTAAAGCCAGGAGCCAGGAGCTTCTTCTGAGACTCCCTTCTTGGTGCAGGGGCCCAAGAACTTGGGCCATCTTCTACTGCCAGGACTTTAACCTGCGGCACCACAGCGCCGGCCCCCTTACAAGATTTTTTAAAAGTATTTTTCCACTTAGGGATTTTAGCTGGATGCAACACACACCTATTGTGGTTAATTTAAGTAGAATACACTTATGAAAATATATCTGATAGACAGTAATCTTCAGAAAACTCAACTTATAGGATACAGCCAGGCAAGATGTTCAAAACTATAGAACTGGTCCTGAAGACACCATGGCATCTGCTATTGCCACAGTGGACAGAACAGAGTACACACAGTTCCTTCTTTTCATGTCACCAGCTCCCAAGATGCTGTTACTACTGGGGCACCTGCTTAGTCAAGTATAAAGTTCACATGTACTAGCAAAAGAGAGGTCAGAAGCTCCCTACTAATATCCCTGGAAAAGCAGCAGAGGATGGTTCAAGTACTTGGGCCCCTGCCACCCATGTGGGAGACCCAAGTGGAGTTCTAGGACCCTGCCTTTGAGGCCATTAGGCAGCTGAACCAGCAAATGGACGATCTCTATCTGTGTTTCTCCTCGCTGTCACTCTGCCTTTCAAATAAACAAAAACAAACAAACAAACAACAAAAAAAAACAGGGCAAGGGGGTCAGCACGCAGCTGAACAACCAGCAGATCCTGTTTCCCAAAGATCATAAAGAAATAAATTCCAGAAACATGGAATAGGAATTCAGATGCAAGAAGATTGAAATTATATGACAAGTTCTTCTATACTCACTAGCAACATAGCCCCTGCAACTCATATCACCCTAATATTCTGATAAAACTAAAATGGTACTCACATGGTACAGATGAATTCACTGAAAAGTGTTCATATCCAGTGAGGTTAGGAGTTTGCACCAGAATGTAAATCAATGTGCTGCTTCCTCATTTAGGAAATCTTGCTTTAACAGAAACAAAAACAATAAACAGCTGAACACTGCAAGGTGCTCTGTGATACAGTTGATTTACATTTTGATGTAAGCTCACTCTTGACCAGAACAGTTTGTGGTCTACACTTTGAGAAGAACTTTACAGATAATTACAGAGAATAGCGAAAAAAGTTGCCAGAAATATGCCAAATATTGGGTGAAAATGAATGGAAGAGCTGGGCTCTAATGACAAACAGTGGAAAGAAGAATGACAATATTGGTAAAAATGAACAGCAACAGAGGAATCATTAAGATAGGAATGAACGTAGGATGTGAGCTTATATGAGAATCTGAGCTAAAAGCTTATATTGGGGAAAAAAGGAAAAGAAACAAGGATCAGAGTAAATAAGATTCTAAATTGGACAGAAAAGTTTAACTCAATATAGGACAGTTATTTCAGAAAGTCTGAATTCACCAAAGTTTAAATACCACTTTTGATCCTTTGAAAAACTATAAAACTAGTACATTTAATACATTCTACATCTTTGTTTTTTTTTTTTTTGGGGGGGGGGGGGGAGAAGGAAAGAGAAACAGGGAGACAGAGAAACACATAGAAAACACCTCCTACCAACTGGTTCACTCCCCAAATGCCTCCAGCAGCCAGGACTGGGCCAGGCCTAAATCAAGAGGCAGGAACTTAATCCAGGTGTACCACACGAGTAGTAGGGACCAAATTGCTTGAGTTTTTAAATTGGACAGAAAAGTTTAACTCAATATAGGACCAAACTGCTGCCTGCTGGAGTAGGCATTAGCAGGGAGCTGGACTTGGGAGCAGAGCTGTGATAGAGGCAGCTTAACAACTAACTAATGCCTGTTCCCTAAATTTCTACACATTGGAAAAGTTCTACTACACTATTAGGTTTCATGGACCATCTTTGTAAGTAAATGATATTTATCTAAATCAACTGAATAATGCTTTTAGAGTTCTTTATTTATTGGTGTTCCAAACAAGAGTCCCTAGTTAAAAATGTCCAACCACCAATAAGCTATACAATAACAAGGGCTAACTTAACTGAACACTTAGTATGTGCTAGGTACTATGAGCACTGCATTTTATTGAATCCGTAATTTAATGCTCAAGTCATTAGATATAAAATCAATTCAATTATCACAATTAGTTGTAGAGGGGCAAACTGAAGTTTAGTTCAAGTAACTTGACTGAGGGTCACAAGCTTGTAAGAGGTGAAGTTAAAATCAAGTTAGGTAGATACTTAGATAAAAGTCTGCCCTCTTATCCACTATATCATACTATCCCCAAAAGAGAAGCAGTGGCTTGGGGAACCTATCTGAAAGTCTGTTGGCTATTTTTCATTTTTTCATGTTGTGATACTACTCAATTTTCCAATTTACTTTCTCAAAGCAAAGTGCTAAGGCTCAGGACTTCAGTTATACCTGTGTGTCACCTAGCAATTGGTGAGAATGAACAAGTTAATTACCTTCAGATAGTAACAGTATCTGAAGAGAGTTTTCAGAATTTACAGATATAATACATATGCCATATTAGTAAAATCCTTAAAATAAAAAGTAGATCGATATTAGCTGGAACAAGAGATGGATTTAAGACATTACCAAAATAAAAACTAGACTTGCTAAGTGGCTAACTAGAGGAACAAATGAGGAAATCAAATGACTCCAACAATTCAAGCAGAGATGATGGCAGATAAAGAAATATTGGGAGGGAGGAGGAGGAGTGAGGGTGGCAGGGTGGGTATGGTGGGAAGAATCACTATATTCCTAAAGTTGCACTTATGAAATGCATGAGGTTTGTCGTCCTTAAATAAAGGGTTTTTTGTTTGCTTGTTTAGGAGAAAAAAAATGTTGGGGAGTACAGCTCTTTAATGAAGAGGAGTCTAAGATGACAGATGTGTATCTAGATGAAAATACGTAGTAGAGCGATAAGCACTGGGAGGAATATATACTAGTATTTACTCAATGTTCATGACTAGATCTTGGTCACAGATATTTTAATGTTACCATGAGCTGCTACTGGCTGTATAAATGAATCCTTGCTCTGTGACTCACTGGGAATAAAAAGAAGAAACAGCAAACATGTCAAAGCTGGAATCTGGCAAAAAACTCAGCAGGGGGAAATGATGGTTTTATGTGGTCAACTGAACATCTATCACTTTTTTGGGAGATACAACTTACACAGAAAAGTGCACTAATTTCAATTGTCCACCTCTATGAAATTTCACATATGGTAACACCATCCAAACTGATATAAAACAATTCTAGAATCCCAAAGGCTCCCCTGGGCCTCTACTCATTTACTATCTATACCTTTCCTATCTAATCATGACTTTAACTTTTACAATCACATACTAGTTTTGCCTGCTATAGGTACTCTTTTGTGTCTGATTTCTATCAAACATTGTCTGTGAGAGTCATTTATGCTGGTTATGAATTACAGTTCTTTTTAAGTAGCTTTGTAGTATTTGATTGTATTACCATGGCAAATTATCTGCTCATTTTAATGTCTGTGGTCATTTGGATTGTTTTCAGGTTTTAGCTATAACAAATAAATGTGCTAAGATAAGTCTTGCACACAGAATAGCAACATATACATATGCACTAATTTCTTGAGTATTCTCTTGAATACACAGATCATAGACCATATACACACATGCACACATTTATACAATGTCAGATCATAGCTCATATATATACACACAATTTATACAATGCCAGATGACAGTTCATACACACACACACAAACATGCACATATACTGTTTTTTTTAAATTTGTTTATTTCAAAGGCAGAATTACAGAGTGAGAGAAGAGACAGACAGAGAGATCTTCTATGTGCTGGTTCACTCCTTAAATGGTCCTAACAGCCAGAGCTGGGCCTGTCCATAACCAGAAGCCAGGAGTTTCTTCTAGATCTCCCAAGTAGGTGACAGGGGCCCAAGGATTTGAGGTATCTCCTACTGCCTGCCCAGATGGTTAACAGAGAGCTGGTTAAGTGGCACAGCTGGGACATGAGCCAGTGCCCACATGGGATGCCAGTGGTGGCTTTACCCAATACACAATGCCAGCCCCTGTGGATACAGTTAAAAACTGCCTTTCCAAGGTTGTTGTACCAATGACATTCTCACAAGCAAATATGAGATCTCCAGATGCTCCACATCTTTGTCAATAGTTGGTATTTTATTTTTTTATCTTTGGTAATTCTGTGATTTCTTTACATGTTTGGGGGGCACTACAACATCTTCTTTTGGGGGCCAACGTGGTGGCATAGCTGGTAAAGCCACTGCCTGTGATGCCAACATTCCATATGGTTACCAGTTCATGCCTGGGCTATTCCACTTCTGATTCAGCTCCCTCCTAATGGCCTAGGAAAAGCAGTGGAAGATAGTCCAGGTATTTGGACTCCTGCCATCCACGTGGTAGAACTGGAAGAAGCTCTTGTCTCCTGACTTTGACCCGGTCAGCTCTGGCCACTGCGGTCATCTGAGCAGTAAACTAGATCTCTAACTCTTTCAAAAAAAAACATAAAAAAAAAAACAAAACCCTTTTCTGAACTGTCTATTCAAATATTTTGTTTCTTTTTTTTATACAAAGACAACAAAAATGGCATTTTTTCAGAGCAGTTTTAAGTTCACAGCAAAATTCAGTGGAAGATAGATTTTTTTGTATATCCCATACCCTTACTTAAGTATGGTCTCTTGACTATCCACACCAAAGTGACACATTTCAACAAACCTATAATGATACATCATCACTCAAAGTCTACATTTTATATTAGAGTTCCCTTTTCCCCTCTAAAATTTATTTCTTTAGTTAGTTGAGAGACAAAGTCACAGAGAAAAGCAGAGGGAGGACTGGGTGAAGCAGGGAGAGGAGGAGGAGGGGAGAGGTGATGAGGGCTGAGTAGATTCCTTTTCTACTGCTGGTTCACTCCCCAAATGGCTGTAACAGCCAGGGTTAGGCCATACTGAAGCCAAGGGCCAGAAACTCTGGCTCGCACAAGGGTAGCAGAGGCCCTTGTACTCAGACGCATTAGCAGGAAGCTGGATCAGAAGCAGAGCATCAAGGATTGGACCAGGCACTATATGGGATGCAGGCATCATAAGCAGTGGCTTAATGCACTGTGCTACATAACTGACCCACATCTGTGGATTTTGACAGATTTATGTTGACATGTATCCACGCTATAGAATGTTATAGAGAAGTTTCACTATCCTAAACATCCTTGGAATTCAGGCTAATCATCTCTCCCTCCTTCCCAATCTCTGGCAATGGCAGATCCTTTCAGTTTCCTCAGTTTTGTCTTCTCCATAATGTCATTCGATAAGAATCATAGTCTGTAGACTTTTCAGACTGACTTTTTTTTAACCAATATGCATTTAAAGTTTCTCCAAAGTACCTCATGGATTGATAGCTCACTTCTTTTTAGTGCCAAATAATGTATGATCGCCCTGATATACCAGGTTATCCATCCATTCGCCTACTGAAAGACATCTATTGCTTTCAAGGTTTGGCAATTATTAATAAAGCTGATATAAACATTTGTGTGCAGGTTTTGCTCATTTTTAAAGTCGACAGTACATGAGTATTATTATTCTCTCTATAGCCAGAACCATCAGGACAGACAAAAAGAGATTATGAGATTATAATATGTGATTATAAAAGTTGAGAAGTCCACAATCTGGCATATGCAAGTTGGAGGCCCACAAGAGCTAATAATGGTTAAAGTCCTAATCCGTGTCCAGTGGCTTGAGGGCCTTCTCTGCATGCAGAATATGGATGTCCCAGTTCAAGCAGACAACAAACTCACTCTTCTTTTGTTTTTTTATTCTGTTCAGGCATTCAGAAGATTGGATGGTACAAATTTTCTTTACTTACAGATTTAAATACTAATCTCTTCTGGAAACAGCCTCACAGACACATTCAGAAATAATGTTTGACCAACAAGCTGGGCATCCCTTACCCCAGTCTGGTTGATACACAATATTAATCATCACATAATTTTTCTAAAAATTACCTGAAAATATATTAACATATAATATATATTACATGTTTACATATAGTACATAAAATTATCTGCAAAAATTACTTTGACTTATTTTTAGGTCTGGCCTAGAAATCAAGATTAAGGAGCACTGGTTAGAAAAAGATGATGAAATGAGTTAACTTACATAGAAGAAGTGGAATAGAGTTCAGGAAATAAAAAAAAAAAAAAACACAAAGGCATTCAGAAAAAATGATCAAACAGGTAGTAGAAAAATTAGAGTGCTGCTGTCATCAAAAAGTAGAAGGGCTTTCAAGAAGGGTAAATGATCGCTAAACACAGAAGGAAGATTGCACAGTGACCTCTTTTTCTTTCCTTCCAAACTTCTCCACCATGATCTCTGGAATCATCTTTGAAGGTAAACATATTCTATCACTATTGAGCTCTCCTGGTCTACCTCCATCCCTTAACAGAAATTGGCTTCCTTTTAGAATATTGCTTCAGGATGACAGCATCCCACATCAGAACGCCTGGGTTTGAGTTCCAGCTCCACTGCTGATTCCAGCTTCCTACTAACATACATCCTCAGAGGTGGCAGATAACAGGTTGAGCAGATAGGTCCTTGCCATCCACGTGAGACACCTACACTAAGCTCACAGCTCCTGGCTTTGGCCTGGCCCAGCCCAGGCTGCTATGGTCATCTGGAGACTATAAACCAGTGAATGTGAGATTTCTGTTTCTCCCTCTGACTTTCAAAGGAAAAAAAAATGTTTTTTAAGATCATTCTTTCCACAGCTACAGCCTTCTTAAAGGGTTTCTGCTTGCTTAATCTGTTAATCTATGTTAATGCTGTTTCCCACCAATTATTTCTCTAAGTTTTTAAAAAAAAAAAAAAACAACCCTTCCATGGGGCCAGTGGAACAGTTTAAGGTTGCCACTTGCAGTGCTGGCATTCCATATTGGAGTGCTAGTTTGATTTCTGGCTGCTCTGCTTTGAATCCAGCTTCTTGCTAATGCTCCCAGGAGGGCAGTGAATGAAAGATGGCCCACATACGTGGGCCCCTGCCACCTGTGTATGAGACCAGGATACAGTTCCTGGCTCCCAGCTTCAAGATAGTCCAGCCCTTGCTGTTGTGGCCATTTGGTGAGTGAACTAGCAGAAGAAAGATATCTCTGTCTCTGTCTCCCTCCCCCCCCACTCTCTCAGATATTCTGCCTTTCAAGTAAACTAATCTCAAATAAATAAATAAAATAAAAAAACCCTTCCTCGAAGGCCAACCCAAAGGAACAAAAAACAGATCAGTGCTTACCAGAGGCTGGCTTAGCTAAAGAGGAAGCAGAAGGAACACGGAACTATTCTTTTATCTTGGTTGTAGTAGCAGTGATATGACAGTTCACCATAGAAATGTTCACCAAAAAGAGTGGATTTTGCTGTATGTAATTATACCTTCATTAAGAAACAAAAACAAAGTCACTTTTTTTTTTGGAGGTAATACTTAACCACTCTCACTGTGGTTGTCAAATAAGATAACTGAGTCATTCTCCATAATTCAGCTATGACATTAGCAGAGTTGCTGCCTCACTCCAAGTCCTTCCCTAAAAGGAATTCTGCACTTTGACTTCATTAGCACTAGTATATCAACAAATATATCTTATATTCTTACTGTGTAAGTGGTACATTAAACAGTACTGTACAAGTCCATTTAGATAAAGATCTAAAAAGCGCAAAGCTGAAACTAAAATAATCATATGTTGGGGTTTTGTTTTCCTTTCCAAAGTTTTATCATCTTTGAAAACAGGAACAGTGACCTACAGTAGGAGCATGAAAGGAACTTTTTTAGAGTGCCAGAAATCTTCTATTTCTTGACATATATACTCTAGGTATATTTACTCCATAAAATTTTATTAAGATGCATTTCATTTAAAAACAAAATCTAGAATTAAAAAAAAGTCACGTTTTAACTCCTTTGACATACAATTTGATCAATTGAGATCCTCTGTTTCTTCTCCTACAATTTTCACCCACCTAACAGTCTCTTCTCACCTTTAGTTTCTTCTATTCATTCAGCAAAAAAAAAAAAAAAAAAAAAATCACTTGAGCCATTGCTTTGATAGTATTTTTTAAATTTTTTAAATATTTATTTACTTGAAAGGCAGAATTAGAGAAAGAGGAGGAGAGACAGAGTGATCTTCCATCTGCGGGTCCACTCCCTAAATGGCCACAACTGCCAGAGCTGGTCCAGACCAAACCCAGGAGCTTCATCTGGGTTTCCCTTGTGAATGCAGGTGCCCAACGAGTACCTGAGCCATTCTCCACTGCTTTCCCAGGTGCATTAGCAGTAAGATGAATCAGAAGTGGAGCAGCTGGGAGTAGAACTGGCATCAATACGGATTGCCAGTGTCGCAGGTGGTGGCTTTACCAACTATGCCACAACACCCACCCCTTGCAAATATTTTCAACTCTTTGTTTTACTCTCTTATTTATTCAATAAGCCAAAATGATGATTCCAACAGATTATATTTCCTACAACTGAGCTACAGAAAAGTTACTGAACTTTACGTTTTGATGTTGTAACCAATATATTATTTCCAGTCTCAGCTGGGCCTTCACTGCTTCTCATCATTCTAGAAAAATCTTATTTTCCTCCTTTCTCCTCTTGTGTTCTTTATTTTTTTCTTAAAGATTCACTTTTTTTATTTGAAAACTAGAGTTACAGAGAAGAGAGGGAGAGAGGGAGAGTTATCTTCCATCTGCTGGTTTACCCCCCAATTGGCTACTATGGCCAGCGTTGAGCCAGGCTGAAGCCAGGATCTAGGAGCTTCTTCCCACATAGGCCACTTGGGCCATCCTCCCCTGCTTTCCCAAACACACTGGCAGGGAGCTGGACTGGAGCATCTGGGACTCAAACCTGTGACTGTATCGTATGCCAGACTTAACTTGCTATGCCACATCACCAGCTCCCCAACTTGCATTCCAGAGCAGTTACTTCAAACATTTTATATACTACTCAAACTGACAGAATCTTTCCTCAAGAAATCCTTCAACATCCTGACACTTCACATGCCATATACTTAGCTATATCTGTGACTATTCTATCCCACAGCCTTCCAACTATGTGCTCAGGATTCTATCTCCTCATTTCAGAGCTCTCACAATACCACAGATGCTCCATATATAACATAAATTTTCTCCTGTCCCCTGTTAACTTCAATTGCTTACTATTTTCCTGTTTCACTCATCTATAGAAATCTAAATTTGAATTCCTTAACTTTCCCCCAAAATTTGTTGCATATGAGCTCCCTACCTCAGAAAATGGCATCCCTACTGCCAATTATTCCTTCTTTCTTTCACTGTCTACAATCAGGTTCTATTTTTTCTTCTAAATATACCAGATTTCATCTCCAATGTCCTTACTGTTATTCTAAGCTTTCACTAATGTAAAAAAAAAAAAAACCCACATTAATTAGACTATCTGTCCACCAGTTTTGCCCTCCCCTTTCTATCCATTCTCAATAGTGAAGTAGGTCCTTTATGATCCAGCCTCTATTCTTTCCTATCCCCCATGTTTATATCTTACTCTTTAGTTCAGCCACAAAGGTAAATGCAGAAATCCAACATGCTTTTTTTTTTTTTTTTAAGATTTACTTATTTATTTGAAACTCAGAGTTACAGAGAGAGAGGTCTTCCATCCGATGGTTCACTCCCCAACTGGCCGCAATGGCCAGAGCTGCGCAGATTAGAAGCCAGGAGCCACGCCAATTAGAAGCCAGTAGCCAGGAGCTTCTTCCAGGTCTCCAACATGGGTGCAGGGGCCCAAGGACTTGGGCCATCTTCCACTGCTTTCCCAGGCCATAGCAGAGAGATGGACAGGAAGTGGAGCAGCCGGGTTCCAACTGGCGCCCACATGGTATGCCGTAGCTTCAGGCCAGGGCGTTAAGCCACTGTGCCACAGCGCCGGCCCCTCAACATGCTTTCTTCATCTCTGGACTTTCCTCCTATCCAGTATTCCTCCACCCTCTGTATCCTTACTCACCCTTTCTTTCAGCTTAGCTACCACTTCCTCCAAGAGGTGACTGAATATATGACCAGGATATATTCTCCTATGGAGTAGCACATTAAAACAATGGAGCTAAACTGTTTGTCTCCTTTACTGGAATTTAATTCCCTCAAGGGCAGAAACTGTCTTAGGAATCACAGGCCCCAGCCTGCGGCAAAGCAGATAGGACATAAAAGTTGCTCAATTAACATTCTGATATTAAATGAGAGAACCTAACCCCCAAGCCAGTGCCCTTCTTATGCCTTCTCAATAGTGAACAGATATCTAAAAGGAACTTTGCTTCTAATACAGGTGAGCTATGTAATTTCAGACAAACTCTCTCCATTGATGACAATTAGTAAACTAACTAGACAAAATATAAAAGTCATAAGGGCTGATACTAGGGCACAACAGGTTAAATCATCTCCTGCAACGCCAGCATGTAAGCCCAGTCCTTGCACCCATGTGAGAGACCCAGATGGAGTCCCAGGCTCCTGGCTCAGCCCTGTGCTACTGCAGCATTTGGGGAGTGAACCAGAGAATGGAAGATCTTGCTCTCTTGCTTCCTAACACTCTACCTGTCAAATAAAATACATAACACATAATATATTTATACAATCACCTATTTGAAAGTATCAGAGAACTATTGAAGCAAACAAGTAACACAAGGCAACAGTTGATTCCTGAGACTAATAAAAAATATAGACTTCTAATGAGATTTATTTAGAAAGAAGAGAAAGGGTGTGCATATCAATATAAATTGAATGAAGAAAGCAACATCACTACAGATCCTAAGGCATTAAGAAAATCACAAAAATCAAAATAAGTTTGAATGTAGAAGTTAGAGTGGTGGTTACCCTTTGGGTAGAGATGGCTAACAGTTAAAAGTATGTCATAAAGGGGTTTTGTGGAGTGCCAACAACCTATTTCTTAACCTGGATGTTTGCTTTGTGATAAGTTATTGAGTTGTACATTTAGGTTTGTGCATTTTTCTGTGTAACACTTCAAAATAAAAAAGGTTTTAATAAGGAAAGCTGGCCGGCGCCGTGGCTCACTAAGCTAATCCTCCGCCTGTGGCACTGGCACCCCGGGTTCTAGTTCAGGTTGGTGCCGGTTCTGTCCTGGTTGCTCTTCTTCCAGTCCAGCTCTCTGCTGTGGCCCTGGAAGGCAGTGGAGGATGGCCCAGGTCCTTGGGTCCTGCACCCTCCTGGGAGACCAGGAGGAAGCACCTGGCTCCTGGCTCCTGACCGGTGCTACACGCCAGCTGTAGAGGCCATCTGGGGGGTGAACCAATGGAAGGAAGACCTTTCTCTCTGTTTCTCTCTCTCACTGTCTAACTCTGCCTGTCCAAAAAAATAAAAAATAAAAAAAAAAGGAAAGCTAAGAAAGCAGGCTGCATTTTATTTTCTAGGTTCCATATGAACATACATGTCGATTATATAAATAAAATGTAACTTCTCAGAATAAGATGGTTTAGGCTTACAGTGTAGTCTACTCTGGCACAGGCTATATATAAGAAATAGCAAATTACCTTTTGTAGAGAGGTATGGTTGGCAGCTAACAGAAAAAAAAAGTCTAGAGTAAGTGAGAAATACATAAACTTTGAAAACAATTTTATTTCCCTCCATAAACACTATGAAAATATATAATAATATATTGCTAGACTAGAATGTATAGCTGTCAAATAAGGAAAATACAAAATAATACCATCATGAAATAATATGATGTCTGTTTGAGATAGTCACAATAAAAGTTACTAGCAATAATTTCACAACAACCCCATCACTTTAACAATAAAGTTGTTATGAAATGTAAAATGCCAAAAATTTAAAAAGTTTCAACACTTACAGCAAGATTACAAGATTTATATGGAGATTATTTTTATAAGGTCTTTGAGAATTGTTCAAGGAAAAGGCCATTAAACTATCTTTAGGAGGAATCTGACCTATTTTATAGTTGGGGAAAATATCTAAGAAGATTAACAGAACATTCTTAGTTTTTTGGTAGGTTAAATCATCATTAGAATGATGTTTTATGTTCTCAGAATACTAAGAGACTAGATAAACCATATCAGTGTACCCCAAATGACAGTCTAAAAACTTCAGCGCCAATGATGCAGAAAAAAAGGACCATGAAGAAAAAAAAAAAAAAGAAAAAAGTTTATTCAATTTAGAGCTATGGTCCTTTATTTTTCCAACATCTGTGGCGTAAAATGCCTATTCTCCTAGGAGATGGGGACAGTGGGTAGCTGTTATTTTTTTTAAAGACGTCGTTCCTTGTGTGAAGTTGTCTTTCTTGTGTCAATCCTCTCCTCTACTTTTAGAAAACTAAACTTTGAAATTCAAGTCTAGCAACCACTGCTATATCTCATACTATAAAACAATGATATAGTATTCCACCTATAAGTACA